TGAAAGTTCTGGGAAAAGAATCAGATTGGTGTTTTAATTTCTTGTAATTTGGGACACTATAACCCTATTTCCAGTAGATGGTGCTGGAGTATATGTATTTTTAATCCAAAAAAAAAAAAAGGCTGACTGGGTCCCTTTTCTCCACATACAAAAAAACAAAACCAAACAAAAATAACTCACAACCAATTGAATACTGTGAGTTGAGCATTAAATTAAATGATAATTCCAGCAATATCATATATATATATATATATATATATATATATATATATATATATATATATATATATATAAAAGAGCCTGTTCAGAATGCGGTGCTGTTGTGAGGAAATGCTGGAATGCCAACATGCATTACGATCCTCTCAGTACTTTCCCTCGGAGGAGGTTTACGACCCTATTTGTTAAGTCCCTATTTGTAAGCAATGCTTTCCGTGGCCACTCCATCTGTGCAAAGAGAGTCCCAGTTCCCCATAATGAACGCAGCATCCAAGGAGCTGTATGAGGCTCTCTTCCCCAACCTATTCCTCAGACTGACATGCAAAAATGGGAACAATCACATGTCGATGTAATATGTTTTTAGTGAAACATGCAGGCCCTGGCCCATGATGTTCAGTTGGTGGAGCATTAGCCTGTGCAGGGAGAGGTTTTAGGTTCCATTCCAGGTCAGGGCACATGCCTGGGTTACCGACTCGATCCCCAGTAGGGGGCGACATTTCTCTTCTCAATTACCTTTCTTTCCCACTCCCTCTAAAATCAAAAACATATTAAAAAACGAAAACAGGAACAGTTACAAAACAAACTGACTTTTACACGTCTCAACTAATTAGCACAATTATACTCCCCCAAGAAACTGAAGTCCTGCCAGAGTTAACAGCCATTCCATTTCTGCACAGTTTAGTCTCCAAAAAGCACTGATTCATTGAAGTGTCATCTCTGTGTAATCCATGATGCTACAAAATAGACTTTCTAGAATGTTGAGAAATAATTGTAATTGTCAGTACAATAACTTTAATTGTAAATGAATGTTTGACTGGCATTTATACAAAGTAAAGATAATTCTCCATTGGTTTCTTAACAAAAGCAGCATTCATCTCCCTATATTGTTCCTGGCAAGGTCTTTCCCTCTCAGTCTCATCTGCCTCTGGAAGTCAAGAGGTGATTTCATTTCTTGAATGTCCTGAAGGCTACAGCTAGGTAGAGGTTTTAAAAAGATTAGCAGGGAACATAAGCTCGCCATGTGTAACATAGCATACCTTTTAAATAAATGTGTGGGGACATTTGTAATTCGAACTTCCTTTCTTCTTCCGGTTTCAGATTTCAGAAATGAAACATTGTGATTGTACACTAATAAGATTATGAAGGTTAGGCCACTGATGGAGGATTAGGGCATGCCTCAGTCACCCACAAATTGGCTGGTATGTTAGTGCTGGGCCTTTTCCTTCTTCATCAGGTATTTCTGGTTATGAGGGAAGGGTACTCCTGTAACAGCTGTGAGGCAGCATAATGGACTGAGATATTAATTTGTCTTTTGTCTTCAATGCACTTTTCCCCACTTAAGTGTTTGTTACACTCTTACCTCCTAGGAGGCTTTTGCTATAGAATAGGAAAGATCATTGTTTTTGTTTTGTTTTGTTTTTTGTATTACTGGAAGGAATTATGCCTGGAAGGAGAAAAAGAGATAAGCACTTTGTGGAAAAGAGGAGGAGGGTGAGAAGGCAGTGGTCGGCAAACTGCAGCTCTTTGGCCCCTTGAGTGTGGCTCTTCCACAAAATACCACGTGTAGCCAAGCACGTACAGTGCAATTGAAACTTCGTGGCCCATGCGCAGAAATTGATTTTCGGCTCTCAAAAGAAATTTCAATCACTGTACTGTTGATATTTGGCTCTGTTGATTAATGAGTTTACCGACAACAGCTCTAGGAAATTGGGAATGGGAAGGAAGATCTGGAAATTTGCCAGCAGAAACTCAGATTTCATAACCCTTAGAAGCCAAGACAGGGCATCTCAGAGGTAACCAACCGAATGAGGGAAAGATCAACGGCCTTCCCAGAATGCCTCGTTTTTCATAAGACAGATGTGAGTGAGAGAGCACCCAAATAGATTCTGAATGAATTATCATGTGATGTTTATTTTTAAAGTAAATATTCTTTCCGAGATTATGGAGTAAGATTTATATTTTAGTTCAAGTTTGGGTTCCCATTTTGAGATTATTATTAATGTAACTCAAAAAAGGAAATATCCCTCTCAAAAAAGGAAAATAATGTTTCAAAGAAAATAAAAAAATGTGAGGAGAGGAAATAAAAACAGCTCTTTTTCTTTTTTTAATGTTCTTGCCTGAGGAAACATACTGACTAGAGCAGTGGTTCTCAATCTTTCTAATGTCATGCCCCACAGGTTGAGAACCGCTGCTGTAGAGCCTAAGACCATCAGAAAACACAGATATTTACATTATGATTCATAACAGTAGCAAAATTACAGTTATGAAGTGGCAATGAAAATAATTTTATGGTTGGGGGGTTCACCACAACATGAGGAACTATATTAAAGGGTCTCAGCATTAGAAAGGTTGAGAACCACTGGACTAGAGAATCAAACGAGAAAATAAAAATTCGAGTGAGTATCATTGTGTAACAACCCGATTCTTGTGAGGTAGGAATGGGAGAGGAGTAGAATCTGTGGGTTTTCTTCTTCTCGTTACCTGCAGGTGTGCACTGCAACAACAAGCCAGGTTTGGGCTCTTGTAATGTGAATTAAGAAACACCCTCACAGCTGATCCGATCCCATGACATAGAGAAGTTAACATTGACAATTTCCTGTGTCAGGGTCACAAGGAGGTGATGAATAAGAATGGAGATAAGAACCTATTCCTTTAGTTCATTAAATACTCCCCAAACCTGCCTTATTTCAGTTCCTTAGACAAAGGAGGTGGGTGTAGCTTGTGGTTGAAATTCTCCATGGTTAACTTTTTCTTCTTTCGTTCTGCCTCAACTCGAGCTAAGGCCAAACAGGCAAATACTTTCACCGTTTCCTTTCTGCAGGAAAGGCAGGTTTTCTCCCTTGAGGTTTGCCCTTTGAAGGACCCCAGCATTATTCTGCTGGGAGGTCTTCCCTCCTGCCCTGTTCTGGTCTCAGACTTTGTTTCATGCCCCCAGAGTGGCTGCAGTACTCATCTCTCCGGATTGCAGGCCTCTCCTCGCTTCTCATGCTTGAAAAAGATGATGGTCAAATTGTATTGACATTTTTTCATGTGCTTCACAAAAAAAAATATTTTTCTGAATGCCAAACCAGCTATCTTGATCCTGCTTTCCATTAAGCACACTTGAGTCAGCCTTTTGCCCACACCCCTACACCAAAACTACCATTAAAAGATAATTTTCAGGAAAAAAAGTAAAATCTTGACTCTTATATAATATGAAATGAATACATGATAAAGAATGCATTTTATTCATATGAGATGGTAGATAACAAACTTCAGCCGAGGTAATTTAAAGATCTAATTTACTGTCCTAAGGGACTCATGAATCAGGCAGCTCCAATCCAGCAGCCAGAGGGTGTTCCCCAGGTGTTAGTCCCAAGGGCCATCTTTAAGCTTCCTGCCACATGAGAACAAAAGACCAGAAAAACTTGCGAGACACCAGGAAAACCTCAGACCATATAAAGAATGAAAACTTTCCTGAAGATACCTGATCGCACACCTGCATTCCGTCCCCATCCATCCTCACTCCATCCTCACTCCATCCACATTCCGAGCCTATGGACTCAGCCCTCAGACCCGCTGGGGACAAGAGCTTCCCGTTAGTGACTGCAAATAAGGATGAAATCCCAGCTCCTGGGTGCTGCCATCATCCACCCAATGCCCCCTTGCCTGGATTCTGTGCAAAGGATATCCCACCCCCATCACTGTTCCTTAAATAAATGTAATGTTTAGTCTGAGATGGCTATCAGCCTGCTCATGTGCCACCATGTTAACCTTTCACAAGAGTTGTCCAAAATGTAAAGTTTTTATAGGAAGGAGCATGGGACAAGATAAAATACTATTATTTTCAGACCAAGACATATTTTGAGGCGAAGGGAATGTCAAGACCTTTTATTGTGCAGATTGCCTCTTCTTTCTATGGTGAGGTGCCAGAATGGTTGATTAAAATTATATTTTGGGGATAGAAATAGCAATTAGCCTCAGATATTAAATGGAGCTTTAGTATCATGGGCTTTAGCACCAGTGACTCCATTTGGGCCTGTGATTTTCTCTTAAACAGAGAGAACCAAGAATTTACTATATTAATATATTATAACCAGTTCAAAGAAAAGCCAAAACACACTTTTCTGTGGAATAGAGGAATGTTGCGAGAGAATTTAATATCATAATTTTGTGACCACACATATATGGCCTTCTTCAGTCTGGTCTCTGACCCTGCTCTAGAGATTAAACCATTTTTCAGTTTAAATGTTTAACCTGTCTACCAGAAGAACTACATTCTTTGCATTGTCCATTTCACTACAAAACCTGCTTTACTAGTTTATTTTGCAGACTTCCAGGGAAACTGAGGTATTGGCCCCTGCCTGCAATCCCCCTCCCCTCCTGACCATGTCTTATCCCTTCAACTGTTGGCTACATCCAGTAGATGCCAAAATGTCTGTTCGGGTCTGAGTTCCAACATCTCAAAATCAAAAAATGAATTTGCGGACAAATATGGTAGGCGGAAGTAAAGTTTAGTGAGAGAAGCCAGTCCTGGTAAAAGTGCAGCTGGGGTTCCAGGAGCAGGCCGGTGTCCAGAGCTCCCATTCCCTATTGCAGTTGGATGGAGTTCAGCAGCCATGCTAATTAAAGCTCATGAGTCCATGTGTGCAGTCCCACAGGCCATCAGCCACATGGGCGCAGGGGGCACATCCCCCACCACAGCAACCAGAAACCCAGTGCACCAGAGAGAGGAAGAGAGAAAACAGCGTGCTTTTTGGTCTGCAAACTCATTCATTAGTCAACAGAGCCAAATATCAACAGTACAACGATTGAAATTTCTTTTGAGAGCCAAATTTTTTAAACTTAAACTATATAGGTAGGTACATTGTTTTTCTGTTTTTGTTTTTGTTTTTTGTTTTTTAATATATTTTATTGATTTTTTACAGAGAGGAAGGGAGAGAGATAGAGAGCTAGAAACGTCGATGAGAGAGAAACATTGACCAGCTGCCTCTTGCACACCCCCTACCAGGGATGTGCCCGCAACCAACGTACATGCCCTTGACCGGAATCGAACCTGGGACCTTTCAGTCCGCAGACCGACACTCTACCACTGAGCCAAACCAATTTCGGCGGTAGGTACATTGTTATTCACTAAATTAGGGTACTCTTAAGCTGGCTTTTGCTAAAAACTCAAGAGGCCAAAGAGCCACATGTGGCTCAAGAGCCAGAGTTTACTGACCACTGGTCTAGGGGTAGATACATGCTTTGATAGCTCCTGATTGATCCCTTTCAAATAATTCTGCTTTAGTAACATTCTTGAGATTGGTTGTATATCTCACTGCCTTGTGATTAGTTCTCTGCAAGCTGCTTGTCTTAGAAACATTCATACATTTTATTATTATTTTTTTAATCTTTATTGTTGAAAGTATTACATATCCCCTCTTTTTACCCCCATTGACCCCACCACAGCCTATCTCTGCCCCAGGCTTTCATTTTAAAAATTCAGGCTCCAGCATGTGCCTTTCTTCCCCACCCCCTGCCCCCTCAGCTGGATCTAGTTCTAGGTCATTTTGTTAGTCTCTGTGTTTTTTCTCAGAACAGGGTGTGGTCAGCAAGTGGTGTTCTGCCTGCATCTGCAACGCTCCACTTCCCAGCCCCCATAATCCTATCCCTCTCTACCTAAACCTCTTCTATATTCTCACAGTGACTCTATCTGCTGACCAGGCGTCAAACAAAACTACCCATTGTTCTCATCTCACAACCCCAATTCCTGACCAGTGAGTCAGCAGAACCCTCAAAATCCAGTTACTCTCACCAATGAATAATGAATAATGCAAGTTTATGGTCTTGTTTTCCCAGCAACTCCACCTCACAACTCTTACCTTTAAACTCTTTCCATATCCTTCCTATCCAACAGTGAGTCTTCGGTTCAAAAAGGCTACTCATTCTCCAATTTGCAAATCATATTATAATAAATCTCTCTTTCATTTCTCAGAAAAGTCCTGTTGGACTTTCATTTTCAAAATGAATTGCAATGGAGTCAAAACTGTTTTTTTCCATAACCCATTAAGTCACTAACAAACTAGACATAAAACATCAATTAAATGCCACAAGGCAAGTCAGAATTTACTTATTAGTTACCTACATTTACGAAGAGTTGCAACATAGCTCAATGACAATGAACTAACTGTACGAACATCTGATAACCCAGAAGGTCAGAAAATGCAGTTGTTTATTGAAACACATTTTTTCTACACTAATCTCTTCAAGGTTATTTAATGATTTCTTCACTGAAAAATTTAGTATCATTTCTCAGTAATTATCTTGCTACAATTATTAAAAGGTTTGATGACTCCTTTTAAAAAACTTTTTTTGTTGTCTCCTTTGCTGATTCATTTTTGTTATTTTAATAAACTCTTCTCTATCTATACTCATTGCCTAGGTAATTTCACCTACTTCCAAGGGTTTAAATAGCAACTACCTACTTAAAATTCCTAATATTACAACTTCAGTTCATTTTCTCCTGTGTACCTTTGACATACATTTTAAAAATTCACATCTACTGTCAATTTGCTGTTTTATAACTGTGTTACCCAAAACTGAACTTTGATTACTTTCAATCTATCCCTTTTTACACACACACACACACACACACACACACACACACACACACATATCTTGCAGTTCTATTTACTCCACCCAAGTCTGTAGAGCAGTGATTTTCAACCTTTTCATCTCATGGCACACACAAACTAATTACTAAAATTCTGCAGGACACCAAAGAATACATCCTATATTTTTTGCTGATCTGACAAAAAATGGAGGTATAATTTGGTACATTCACACTGGATGGCTATTGTTATGTTGGCTGTTGTCACTTTTTAATTTGACAATCTACAGGAAAAGAGGTCAGTGCCCCTGACTAAATAGGCAGGCATTGTACGTTTCACAAATTCTTGATGCACACTGGTTAAAAATTGCTGCTATAGAGTCATCCTGCATCTCTCCCAGTGTCCTCTAAGCCCAGTCCTCACCCTTCTATACCATGATTCATGACAATGAATGCTAACCTGTAGTAAATAAGTCAAGGTTCTCTATGTCCTTTGTCTTACTATTGGTCCCAGTTAATAGGGAACCTTTGTTGAAGATTGGAGGGAGGAAGGAGAGGGAAGTCAAAGTATTGATCCCCTTGTCTATGTCCTTATGGGATAGCTTTGGGCTGAGTGTTTTCCTTCAGGCTGGTCTTAATTCCACTGAACACAAGTTTTTGTTTTTATATAACTGAATTTTCAACTTCCAAATTTGAATGCCTTTTCTCTTCATTCTTAGGGTCATGGTACTATTCCGCAAAGTTCCTTATACCTTGCCCATGTTTTTCTAAATAATTATTTTATTAAATAGACCTCAAATTATCTTAATTTAATGTGCCATATCTTTTCTGCTGGGACACTGACTGATACAAGCCATCTATTTGACACCCAGCAAATTCTTTTCTTCTATTTTCAAAATATATATGGAGTTTAAGCACTTCTCACTGGAAGTTCCCTGGTCCACCACCATTATCTCTCTTCTAGTTTTGTCCTAAGATTTGAAAAACCAGAAAAGTGTGCTAGAGGAAATGTGTAATTATCTGTTGAAATGCAATAGTTATTTTTTTCCTACACTAATTTTGTCAAAGACAGAAATGACCTCTGCACTGAAAAATTCAATGTTATTGTACAAGTGCGTAATAGCCCTCTACACTTGCCCTTCTACAGTCTGTTCTCATACACAAGCACAGTATCTTTTAAAGCAAACATCATACCCCTGTGATCAAGTTCCTTAACACATTTCTTCTTTCTATTCTGGATCCTCATTCTACTTCAGCCCTCCTGGCCTTCTTGCTGCTCCTTTAATACACTTAGCGTATTCTTGCCTTAAGGTCTCTTTACTTGTCTGGAATCTGCTTCCCTTAGATATCTGTTTAGTGCCTTCTTCACTACAACTCTCTGCATGATAGTCACCTTTTCAAGGAGTATTATATAATGTAATATTATACAAAAGAGTATCTTCAGCACTCTCCACTGTTAGTTGCCACCCTCCTTACTCTACTTACTGGATTTTACTCTAATTCTTACCACCACCACTTGACATATATCTAAGTTCCATGAGGGCAAGATTTTGGCTATTTTTTTTTCTGACATTGTGTCTGTTGTGTCTGGAAAGTGTCTGGATCATAGTCACAAGTAAACATGTATGAAGTAAAATGAAAGAACAAATAAAGGAATTATCAAATGATACAGAAATTATATTTTGAAACCCTGAGTGATAAAGTCCTAATCCCATTTGAGTCTCAACCATTTTCCAACAGAAAGCAAAGGCAACCCCTAAATATAATCTCAAATATAGTCATTTATTTGAAAGCTGTGGATCGGTATCAGTGCCATTTTAAAAGTGAAACACAAACAAAATATGAGTTGTGCAATGATTTACCAGGAAACCAATAATGAAAAAATAAGTCAGCTGAGTAAGCAAGATGTATAGAAGAGAACCCTGAGAACACCATAGTGGATTCAGGAAATGTTTTCTTTAAGTGAAAGAGCATAAATTATGGTATTGATATTATAATTAGTATTGGTTTTTAAGTAATAACATTTTCTTGAATAAAATTGTGATTATCAAGTGAATTTCTAAATTCTGTACTAGAAGGGAAATATTAATATATCATATCTATATTATACAGGCAATAAAAGATAGGTATGCTTCATCATCATTTCACAAAACTGGATTATTTTATATTTACAATTTTGCATTTAGAGTCCCCTATTTTTTATTGTATTAGTATCTCTTAAAACTCAACTTTTAAATGAAGCAATCTCAGCTTCAGCCTACATATCTTTGATAACATTTAAGCACACTTTTAGGTTCAATTTTACATTAATTATTTTTCTCATGATACCCTGTTTCCCTGAAAATAAGACAGTGTCTTATATTAATTTTTTCTCCCAAAGTTGTGGTAGGTCTTATTTTCAGGGGATGTCTTATCTTTCCATGCGCTAGGTCTTATTTTTGGAGGATATCTTATTTTCGGGGAAACATGGTAGTAGCAGAGTATAACCTGGAATTTTTCTGGAGATTCCCAGTGTCAGTATCAGCTGAGAGAGTCAAATTCAAATGTCCATATCCATCTTATTTAATTAAAAAAAAAATAAGATCTACCTATATCAAATGGAAATAGGAGAAATGGTGAGTATTCCTTCTCAGTAGCTCCTGAAAAATCCTTAGATTAACTCTGACTAAATACCTTCTGAAAATCAATAGCTTTTCCTCTACCCTAATAATAATACATTTGAAACTAAAGTGGAAATGACATATCTGTCTATAAAAAAGAGAAAACAATTCAATTCTGAGAACAGAATATAGCAAGAGTAGTATAAGATATAAAAGTTAAGTTATGAAACCCAAATTAAGTGTATAAAGTGACTCTGAATTTATATGAAATCTCTAAGAATAGTCAAAAGTTTATGAACATTGAGTAAGAACAATTAGGAAGGCTAAGTAGGAGACTTCTAAATAGTAAGATAATAATAAAGTCACTATAGTCAAAAGTGTATGATATTGGCACAGAACTAGATAACTAAGTAGTCACATATGGTTGAGCACCCAGAGAAAGATCATTATGTGGAGGAGGGTAATCTAACTTAGTGAAAAAAAGTGGTTGGTTTAATAAAGAATTGATCTGATTGATTATCCATCCAGAAGCAAATGGAATTGGATCTCTATCTTTTTTTTATTATAAGAAAAACTAGAGGCCCAGTGCATGATTTGTGCATAGGTGGGGTCCAGCTGGCCGGTCCTGATCAGGCTGAGTGGGCCAGGCCAGTTAGGGGGAGGGGCTGCAGATTGTTGGCCTGCCAGCCAACCTCCTGTGGCCCCTCCCCCTGGTCAAACTCCAAATCAAACCCTTAGTAGAAGGGACGATTTGCATATTAGCCTTTTATTATATAGGATATTGGAAGAAAATGTAAGAGGCTATTTATAGAAATCCAGGGTGGGACTTTCCTACGTATGACAGGAATCTCAAAAACCATAAAGGAAAAAAAAACTACAATAGATATATTTGGCAACTTAAAAATTACATATATTTGCATGGCAAAACATACTATAAACCAAATGAAGTTACAAATTCAAATGTGTTTATAAATTAAGTGCAGAAAATGTTCCTTTTTTTTTTTAGAGTCTAGTTATTAAAGGATCATTGTATATAAAATTCACTTTTGGAGTTCATAACAGCTGAAAGAGGAATTTCAAACTTTCTCAATCAAAAATTGGAAGAATTTTACTGTTAAAACTTAAGATTTTTTATTGTCAGGAATACATTGTGAATATAAATGACTAATATATTGTATTAGTTGAAAAATACATAGAGTGAAATAGAGCAAATGAAACACAAAAGCAATGGAAAATAATAAGATTTCAAAGTGTTTTCCCCAAGATTTTCTTTTCTCCTCAGAAAAACAAAAGTTTTGAAGGGTCAAGAGACTTACACTTTTGACCAAAAAGGAATTCTAGAAATGTGATAATAGAGAAAACATCCTGTTTTTTTAATCTCAGCTGTTGTAATGAAAAGCTGTTGAATTATGAAAAAATAAAAAATAAAAGACATACACCATAAGACAAACAAATATAAATAACCACTTCTGGATCACTCCTAAGTTAAGAACAAAAATATAGACATTGTAATAATGGGGATATATTTTGAAGGCAAAAATTGTTTTTATTAATGGGGGAAATTCTATAGTTTTATCTTCCCAAGGAAATTAGAAAAAGATTGTCTTGACAAAAACTGCTTTCTCAGGAGGCCATGGTAACTAACTGTGAGGTAAGATCATTTGTAGTATTTGAGGGGAAGGAGTAGAGAGTTGGGGGATCATCCACTTTTGAAGGAGTTTGGTGGACGAATGCACTCAGTCTGTCCTAGATTCATTTCATTAAGAGAGAATGAGCTAAGTAACATTGCCAAAACCAAGTTCACTTGAGGTAATAGGCCAGGATGTTTCTGACCATCTGTCTCTTTAATGAGGGCATGTTTGCCATCACAGAGGCTAAAACAAAAATACAGAAAATAACACAGAAAATACCAGCTGTTGAAAAGGATGTGAAAAACACAAGGGAACTCTTTTACCTTGCTTGTGAAACTTACCAATTGGTACAGCCATGCTGAAAAACCAGCTGGAAGTTCTAAAGTTAAACATGTTAATGTTTCATGACTCAGCATTCCCAGTCTGACACTTATATGGCTAACAGAAAGATGGACATACATTCACCAAAAGAAATGGGCAATGGAATGTTCATAGCAGTGCAATGAGAATGAATGAAATATAATAATGCACAATGTGGATCGATCTTGCAAATAGAATGTGGATAAATCTTACAAGTGCAATGTGTTACAAAAGAAGTCAATCACAAAAGAGTACATAGTGTTTTATTCCCTTATTTACAATTCAAAACAGACCAAACTATGGCATGAGAGGTCAGGAAAACAGTCATCCTTGGGACACAGAGATTGGAGACTGAAAGTGGTCATGAAAAGATGGGGGGTAGGTGGGTTACGGAATATTGATGGTGTTCAGTTGGTAAAAATTCATCGTTTTAAACATCTGTATATATGTATTTGTGCACTTTTCTGTATGTATATTTTAATAAAAAGTTGCACCACAAACTTTTGTCTGTAGGATAGAACAGAAAGCAGTGGGAAGGAGCAGAGAGCAAGTTAACTTTCTTTAAATGGAGGGAAGATTTATACAAATTTTTAACTAAAAAGCAAACAGCAGCTTTTCATATCTAAAATAATTGGGTTCATATCTATCTTGACCAATAGCCTGGGAAAAACACCATCTTTGATTCTTATTTCAAAACCAAAGGTCATTATTGCTCTTGTTCCAAAGAACAGTTTTCATATACTTGATTCTCTTTCCCAATTTGCTGCAAATAAGTAGAGTAAAAACATTGACTAAAAAGAGATCATCTTGTAAAACCACTTCACTGCCTAAAGCAACTAAAACTTTGGAAAAGCCATTATATACAATACTGTTCTGCTGCCCACAGAAGCCTGATGAAGTGGATTGCCAATAAATATTTTCAGTAGGAATGAGTCATCTGAGTACATGTTGAATGACTTGACATTCCAGACACTACAGAAGCTAAGCAAGCACTGCTGAGACCTTCCATCCTTTGCAGTGGTCGGCAAACTCATTAGTCAACAGAGCCAAATATCAACAGTACAATGATTGAAATTTCTTTTGAGAGCCGAAAACCGATTTCTGCGCATGGGCCACGAAGTTTCAATCGCACTGAAGGTTCACGCCCACACGTGGTATTTTGTGGAAGAGCCACACTCAAGGGGCCAAAGAGCAACATGTGGCTCACAAGCTGCAGTTTGCCTAACACTGCTCTAGGGCATTGTTTCCCAAACTTTTGACATATGTGTACCCCTTCTATAATTTTTGTAATGCTGAGTACCCCTTGTACTTATGAGAACATAGAATTAGGTGCAGCTAAGCACAGTGCAGTGCATATCCCCACCAAATGCTTCCCGTACCCCTGGGGGTACATGTACCACACTTTGGGAAACACTGAACTAGGATATCTCTCTTCCCAAGGCACTGAATTTCTGAACTGCTTGGCTCTTGCCTCCTCTGAGATGGCAAAACCCGTTGGGAATTCCAGACCACTGAAAGTCAAAGGTCAGGTAGAACAGTAAGTGACCTGGAACCCAGTGAAGACCACTGAGTACGGAATGCTAGAAAATAGTACAAAACAGGCCAAGCTGGCTCCGAAGAGTCAAAGGATACACACTCCTTAGAAGAGGGACCAGCTGTGCAAAGAAGTACACTGGCAGAACTACACAGATACATACTTGCTCCAAAAAAAGCATTCACCCTGTTAAAGACGTTTCAAAAACGGGAGAAAACTGCATTTTACACACACACACACACACACACACACACACACACATTATTTGCCTCGACCTTTAAAGAGCTTCTAAAGATAGAAGTCATATTTTAGTCATTTTTATGTTTGTCATCTAAAGTCCTGGCTTAGAGTAGGCACCTGAAAATATTCATTAAAAATGAAATAAAGTTTTATGAAAGTGTGTAGAGCTTCTTAATCAAGGAATAATCCCAGACTTTTAACATTTTATACATTTTTTTCTCTTTCCTTGTTCTCAGTTGTCAGCTTTGTTTTAAATAATGTAGAACTTCCATACCTCATGTTTTCACTCAGTTTGTCTAGTTGAAGAGTTTGAAGATTCACTCTCTCTCTAGACCAAACCCCTGAATTTTATGATTCTTGCCATCCTTAA